AAAAGTGAGTTATGCTCTTTTACGATTCGTGATACAAATACTACGTAGTATTATTAATACGATGTAAGGTTGCGATAAAGTAAAATAAAGTGTTTAGCTTTGCATCAGCTCAATCATTGACGTCACACTTCTACCATCTTTGTGTAATAAAAAATTGCATGGGAGAGTCGCTATTATAATATTGATATGCCGAAAAAAGTGTAAAGTTTGGTTTTGTTCGAAAAGTTTAATTAGTGCTTCATTTATTCATTAATTGCCGCTCATTATTTACTTTTAGTTAATTAAGCAATTATTATTTGTAGACGTGGGTACGATGAATAGCAATTAATTAGTAGAAAGAGCGTAATACTAATTAATTTAATTTAATGACAACTATATTTTCAAAGTAATTTATTAGTGAATACCTTTTTAATATTATTTAGACGTTAATTGTGTACCATAAAGTTGTAAAATAGATGAAACACCTACGTTGACAATATAAGTACTAATTTTAGATTAATCTATTTTACGAAAACAATAACCTACTTCTCTTTTTTATATTTATGTACTGGCCACATTAAAAAAAGAAACGTAAAAAAGAGTAAATTTATTTTCTTTTTTTGCGCCTAAGAGTTTTGCTATAAGTTTTTGATTCGAAAATCGAATTCTTAAAAAAAATTCGCGCTCTAATTTTTTTGGCCAAGTTTCGCCGTTTCTGATTAACAATCAAACTGGTAGTTTCCCATCAAACTAAACAACTAGTAAGGCAAAGTGCATTAAAGTTTAATCCGAGTCAGTAGACTTGCCGTTTGGATAATGGAGCATTACCCCAAATAAGCATTCGGCATGCTCAAAGTACGGACCGGGAGGTATTATGTGCCAAATTATAATTTCAAAGCCAGTGCACTTTCTATATTGCTTTGGGAGATGTTTTGTTTGTTTAGTTTTGAAGGAAAAAGTTAATTTTCATTTTAACATTTACTGCCTCGAAGAGGATTTGATATTTCGCTAGGATGAGAATTAACATAACGTAACGTAACGTTCTTATGAGCTTTTATGTGTTATAAATGTAATAAAAGTGTTGATGAAAAAACAAAAAGAAAAGAATTATTATATTGTATGATTCAAATTCATCTGAAAGCAGTTGGCCAAGTTATTTCTACGCTGCCATCTTTTCTCTTCTCTTTCTGTCTATAGTTTGTGCTATAGTTTAGACATTTAGGCCTAACTTAACCGTAAAAGTAAACAAACTCTAAAATATGAGAATAGAACATCATGAAAAGTTACGATGGAACAAAATGGTTTGGTAAAAGGTGCGAATGGTTTCTGTCTATCGTGTACCAACGCATTTGTATATAAAACTATAATATAACAGATAGCTTTTTATCACCGTTATTCACTTATTGCGTTTACGCATGAATCCTCTTGAGATACCTATGATGAAATAAAGTCTAACTTTCCGAATTTCAAATGAAGAAAAACCATATTTTAATCAATTTGCATGATATTTATAAACGTGTTCATCATCTTAGATAAAAACGCAAGCATGAAACGCAATTGAAATGAAATACCGTGACATCTTATGTCCTTGAAATAGGTTTTCATTGCAACAAAAATGATTATGTATTGCCAGTACATGGTAAGTGATCAGTTATGTGTAGTTGTTAGTACAGTTATCGTTTTAAACTGACCACTTATTCATTTTAAAGTGATGTACACAAGATAACAACACATAAATCTGTTCTTGACTCAGTGCCCTTGATTCAAATCCAAAGCACTTGTGAATCTGGGCCGTGTAACGATTTCATCTCAACTTAATACATAATAAATTCTAGAGTTTAGTATCTGAAAGCAGAGAATCGTTCCATTTAGAACGGGTATAAAATATTCTTAAAAATATCTCCTTGTAGCTACAAATCTCTGATATGTATCTCCAGATAGGAATATCGCAGTAGTTTCTGGGCTAGATCTTATTCGTAGAGCTACACATTTTTCAGTTTTATTACTAACTGCCTGCTCGTTATAAATTCGCTAGCAGAAGTCAAATATTTAAAATGAAGTTTTCGAAGCGGTTCAGCGTTAATCTTCTGAATCTGAACGTTTAAACTAACTTATTATTCCAATAGTAATGTTATTTGTAGCGAATAAATCTTTTTTATAGGTTTCCCATTTTTTTGTAGACACAGACATCCAGTCATATTGGCTCTAATAAAAACTATTTTGAAATTAACATACCTATCATAGTGTCTAACTAACCAGTGTCTTCACATGCACAGTCTCTTTTATAACCATATTTTCCCAAAAATAGAGAACCAAAGATAAATCGTGACCTTGTTTAACATAAAAGAAAGCCTTTGTTATCGTGAGATGCACCATCAAATCCGAGAGATGCGCTTATCGCCAGAAAAATATCCGCTCCAAGTCGCCGTCTTGTGCCTTCATTTCCCCGCACAACGCAAATTGGTCTTATCTTTTTGTAGTAAAAAAGAAGTTTACGAAATGAAGTAATATTGTCTAAACTTCGGGTATTTTTAGCACTAAATCTCTAGAGTCGTTGTAAGCTTACCTTACTTATTGTACAGAGTAGAGATGAAACGGATAGTTGTTTGGCCGGATACCGGATACCGGATATCCGGCGAGCTGCTAGGCCGGATAGCCGGATATCCGGCGGCCGGATAGTTGTCCCATTGTCATGTTGCAAGTCGTAACGAGTTTAGCGCCGCACAGGTGCTTCAAACGCGATCAGTGGGTCTAGTAGACTAGACAAGTCACACTTTTCGAAAATCGAATCTGTTCGAATAGAATGTCAGATTTTGCCACTCGTCTAAGGGGCAGATCAATTCGGGCGATTTCGGTTGCCATCGTGAGTATGTGATTGAATAGCGAAAATTCAATTAGTTTACTTGCTGCGTAATCTGATTGAACTGCATTATACAGGGTGACTTTGAAATCGTTGGCATTCTTTTTAAAATAAGACTTTTCATGATTCCCCAAATATGAGTCATATCAAATTAATTAAAATTTCAATATTTGAAATCTTGTACAGACGACAGCACATCAATCTTCATTCTGTGGCATCTTATTTCAATGTATTAAGTGTTATTTTGCAACAAAATGTATAGGATGATGTGCTGTTGACTGTACAATAGTTTTAAACTCTTTTTAAGAGCACACTAATACAAATAAGGGAGAGTCCGCTAATTTGGACCAGTTTTTTTCAATCCCATTTTACACATAGTTTTCTTTTGTTTTTGCTAATGTCCATGGTATATAATAAAAGATACATTATTCAACTTACTATTTCATGAGTATTAATTAACATGATTGTTGTATATTTAGCACAAATCAACAAAGTACGAGTTCAGAGCTTCGGTCCAATTTAGCCAACCGGTTCGATAATTTGTACCACAGGGTTACTAAATTGGATTTCAATGAATTTCAAGCCTTTAATAAAACTATGGCAAAATATTATACGATACGTTCTTAAAAAATTAGGAAACGAAGAGGAACTGCAGTTAATAACATAGACAATCGATATTGTTTTACACGTTATCACGATTTTGAGTACAAGTTTTGTAATTCCAATTATCGTAACGCACACTTCTACCTAATCTACTTTGCCAGTATTTTGCTTTCATTTACTGTTAGTCAAACACGTCTACGCTATTATAACTTCAAAATATGATTTACTAAAAAAAATTTCAAAATCCTTTGGTAAAGTTCCATACAACTTGATGTGGTACAATTTAGCCGACTAGGTGATAGTGCTTTTAAAAAATCGGTAAAAAATATAGCTTATAAATACCGAAAAATGTTTCAAATAATTGTAATCCACACTAATTTACGCTTCTAAATAATATATTAGAAACATCCTGTGATTAAATTTAACAAAATTACAATCTAAACATGTATTGTCAAAAGTTACTTGAAAACAATGAAAAAATACTTTTCAAAATAAAACACACGTGTTTGTTGTCACGGCAAAAACCACATGGCCGATATTAATTGGTTTTAGTTGTGTATCGCTGAGTGTTGCAATTACAGACATTCAATTAATAGTTTACGAAATATAAGGGTGGTACAATTTACCCGGCAGTACAATATACCGAACTCTCCCCTACATAGTTTATTTTATTTATTAGGACAACCAAAAAGACAAACACGCATACATGGAATTACTATAACTAGAAGTGCTTAGAACTAAGTAGTTAAAATAATGACAAAAAATCTCATTGGATTTGTCTCATATTTGGGGAATGCACTATGTATTATGAGTAGTCTTATATTAAGAGGATGCCAACGATTTCAAAGTCACCCTGTATGTCATCAGACCATCAGTGAAAAAAAGATCGCCTATTTTATTTGGCAATATTTCGACATTAAAATATATTTACTATTTATTTATGTATTCGTCATTAGAGTGGATAGCCCAGAAAGGAAATTAGTTTTTTGTAAGGCCTTAAATATGGCTTTTTTGTAAATTTTTGGACTTTAGATAAAAACCGTCATTATTATAAGCAATTTTATTGATATTTAACTCAAAGATTAATGTGTTTCATTTTATTATAGGAAATTTTCGTAGTTTTTTAATATCCGGTATCCGGCCGGATAGTGGGCTACTATCCGGTATCCGGCCGGATAGTAAATTTAGGCCGGATATCCGGCCTACCGGATAGTTGCCGGATATCCGTTTCATCTCTAGTACAGAGAATTCACGCCTCAAGTATGTACAATAGAGTTAATTAAGATTTAGGTAATAGAGAAGTCTGTTAAATTAATATTAATTTAGCTCATGCCTGCTTATGGCCTTAGGATTATTTGCCTATGGTATTTCATGGATTAACTGCTATTCTCATTCCACGGCATAGATATAGTAGGTTCTTACTCGTACATATTACACCGTGCTCCAATCTCTAACCACAGTATAATTTATGTGTCATCGCTATTACTCCTTACAGGTCTTCAAGTACCTACTACTATAGCTGTTTTCCATTCTAATAAAATCCCTCTTTTGTCCCCAGGAGCAGCTCAGAAGGCGCAAAGAAGCAGAAGACCGGATCGCAGCCCAGAATGAGTTCCTCAGAACGTCGCTCCGAGGTTCCAACAAGCTGCAAGCGCTGGAGTCCACACCACCATCGTCGGGCACCGCGTTCGTCAACGATGCTTACGAGGACGATGTCAGCGACGATTCTGTGCAGTTATACGCCCTTGTTGGTGAGTACAAAGTGAATAAAAGCTTCTAAAAAGCGCTTTCACAGATCCCAAGTATTACTTTAACCCTACCACTGCAAAACTAAACACCACTGGAACAATAAATGGCCAATGCTGAGATGAAGCAATGCAAGAAACACAGTCACCATTGCCAGCCTATTTTTAATAAGATCATAAAGACTGTTTTAAGCACCTTCGGGACTTTGAACTTTCACAGCATCTATAAAGTTCAGATTGCACAATATGAAAACGCACAAGTGTACAAAGTAAGAAATATTTGTTATTACCTATCTACACTAAATTTATTTTACGTAGATTACTTTGAGTTCATACACCTACTGCCTGCCTACGTATTAAATGCTGTTGGAATAGAATCGAAGTTCCGAGAATTGGGATTGGTCGCGTGTATTTAGAACTTCCATGAATCTGGCTCAATAGCATTTAGAAAAGCTTATTAATGGTTTAGATGTAGGCTGGTGCTATTTTATCGATAAACGAACGCAAAAATATTAATACCCACTTATAAGTATCCTGAAATGTGGGGGTGAGGTCCCAATGATTAGCACACATTTGCCGAAAAAGATTGAAATAACTAGGTACATATGTAGATAGAATGTCCGCCAGCAAAAATGAACTCGTCGAATAAAAAGTTGGTACAGCACTTAGAATCGATACTTTATTCGTTGCATTTTTAGTACGAGTACTTAAACAGGTAGCGGGCAATAAAGCCCCAATATCCTGCAGCTACTTACATCAAAGTTACCTTAAATCGCGACGATCAAAGACAAGACCCTTAGCTCCTGAGCGTTCAGCATTTAGCCAAGCACATAACTGACGGTCAATATCCCTATATTATGTGCTGACAAGTGACGAAGATAGACCGCTCTAAAGCGCCTGCCCGCGGAAACCCGACACTATGTCAATAGATTATGTTAACGTCGTATACAGGGTGTTAGGTAAATGGGTATATGAGCCGACACTAGCCCATGTTAACATGGTCATATAAATGGTATGGTGAAGTCAGAAAATTGATATCTTCATTTTAATTATTTTCATACAAATCGGATTTTATAAAATATATTTTGTATGAAAATTAAAAAAATAAAATCATGTTATCAAATTTCTGACTTCACCATACCATTTATATGCCCATGTTAACATGGGCTAGTGTCGGCTCATATACCCATTTACCTAACACCCTGTATATGCTATAATATGCTAAAATGTCAACGCCTCTGCCGGCCCTCCTCTCATAGTAGGCTTGGACGTGATATAGTCCGATATTCCGCACCGATAATAGGGTTACATGATAGTAGGTTCAATAATTACTTACGTAGCAGATAAAATAACCCAGAGATCCTTTGAGAAATATTTTCTGAATACATTTTCATAGTCTTTTTTCCGATATAAAGACGTCAGCATATCAGACTGCACATTTTTGCAACTTAAGTGCACTTTTTACTACAGCTGCCACAGACAATGGTTAGCTTTTATTTAGGCAGGGGTGGTACAACTCAACGGTAATGTGCCGTCATCGCCTAAAAAATCATCTAAGATTTGGGGCAGCTAATTTTCCCTCACGTGCTAACGCACGACTTACTAAGGCTGCGTTGCACCATCTTACTTTAGATTTGACAAACGTCAAAAATCTGTCAAACTTCATACAAAAAACATCGGTTATCGCTATAGTTACGGTCAAAGTTAGGTGGTGCAACTCAGCCTAAGAATACAGGAGTGACCTCTTTACAAGCTAAGAAGTCTACTGTATTTCCCTCAGCCAGTGTGCTATAAAATGGGCAGTGAAAACGCGGGCAGGTTAGTTCCAGTTCACTCGTCGGGAGTCGAGACTAGTGGTGCTGAACTATCGACAGCCCATGTTTAATCGATAAAATATTCAAAGGCTCGTTCATTAGCGTTGGTAGCGCTGCACGTAGATTGGAAATGAGTTTAAAATTCCCGTAGGAAATTATTCTACATTATAGTGATAGACGATAATATACCGGTACTTCAACAACCTGGTGACGGGCTTATGACCAGCTATAGGAATTTGAGATGGCATAATATCGTGTTAAAAGAAGTTCCAAATCGTTATTGTACCAAGTAATGGAATTACAGTCGGAATCATTACACCAATTTTTTTGTAATTTTAACCTTTATTTTTCGGGTCTCACCTTTGAATTGAGCTGACTCTAGCTAGGCCAGTGGAGTGTTAATTATTCAGATTTATTTTCAGTTGCTCAACAATTTATTTAGCCTTTTTTCCTGATCGAGCTATTCTCACCTCTACTGCATGGTTAATATTAGACTGTAATAAGTGGAGCAGGGTGAATGCCTTCATTAGCTGAAATGAACTTTAAATCCACCGCAACGTTTATGAGCGTCATATAATATCTAATTTCCCAGGAAAAGAGTCTTTACGCGGAGTTATTTCATAATTAAGAAGCACATGGTTTCAAGTCCCTCATTTAAGGTCGGGTAAGCCACTGCTAATAAGGAACAGGTGCTTGATTCAATTTCACGAGCTTTATTATCTTACGTATAACGATTATGGTTGTCGTCGGCTTTGTTAATTATTTTAAAATTACATATAATATTTAGGTACTTATACTTAATTTGGATAACAGGATCATTGGGATAACAAACTGACTAAACATGATTGTTTCTTGTTCGTAAAAGTAATTCAACATTATTTTTCTACACTCACTTTTGAAAACTTTGATGCCAGAAAGCAGAAAGCTTAATACCAACATAAAATATTATAATTTTGCGGCTACGCCGACGTTTCACTCACCCAAAACTAGCTCAAGGGCTACAGCCAAAAGGTTTACTACCTAAAAGCACATTTGAAAATCCTCTCATTTATCCCTAGCGAGCTCCTAAGGCTCAGGTTATCTAATATGTCTCGCGTGAGACACTAGGCTCTTCGCTAGTAAACTAAATTGTGTTTGGGGAACTATGTCTCGCATACCGGCGCATAGCAAGCAATCTGCTTTTGACGTCGTGATCTAGTTTGTCGTTTAATCTGCAGTAAATTCTTGGGCTGAAATGCGATGTGCTGAATTTATGTTTTTCAATTTGTGTAGTTTAATTCGTCGTGTTGAGATATCGTACTCTATTATTTATCTACTGGGTCCTACTGGCTGCTGGACAACCAAAATAAAAGTAGACAATTCAACATTTAATCAACTGCTTCCTGAATACTTTCACTATCCGAAATTAAGTGATTATCTTGCGTTAATTCAGTTTTTTAGTATATTGTTTTACAACTACTCGACACAAGTTAGTCCCATTTTTTGAGCAATACTGGCAATACATACGACTACGTCACATTTTCATACGTTACAGGGTTGCCTGTTGGAAAAGTCTTGGATGTTAAATCATCATCATGTTGATTTATTGAAAGTACAATTAGATTTATTTATTCCAGATTATCAAGAAGTATGCGCAGCGCTCTCGAGGGTGCAAAAGGCGTTGGGAGCGAGTGGGGAGACCGCCCTAGCAGCGAGGGTGGCCAGTGCAGCGGGGACGCTGCTGTGTCCAGCGCTCAGAACTGCCCTGGCCACGAGATCAGCAGTACTCACCGCTGTCAGGCATAAAAGAAGCGGGCTCAGTACTCCACACACGCATCGGGCCACGGATAGGCTGAAAGACGTGAGTATCCATATTGTGGTAACCGTAAAATCTTGGGAAGACGAATGCGCTCTTGTTGGTCCAAAAAGAAACAAGCGGGAGTAAAGAGACTGCTGCAGATATTAGCGAGTCATCAGGCTCTACTTTACTTTCAAAGTATTTTCGCAAGCAAGGGCCCTTAGAATTTAAAATTTGAGAGCAGGGCCTTTAAAATTTCAATTGAACGACGACAACTTTAATTACGAATCTCTTAAAGGACGAATTCTAGAGTCAACGAAATGGTTTAGTTTCCAAGATTTTATAAAACGTGTCATGGCCAATTTTTCATAAGATACTTCCAAGTAAAGTCTTGACTTTCAGAAGACGCAAATTAAAACTGGTTCAGCTACAAGACTATTCTCACCTCTCGTTCCCACCGCTGCAAATCTTGTGAAGCTAGGATCCACAAATTGACCGCCGATAAAAACCCAACCAGTGAAGGTCAATTAAAAATAATTTGGCTATCAACTATCCTTTTCTTCCACAGTGCATGGACGTATTGGACGTGCAGACATCGTCAGGCGGCGAGAAGTCTGCGATAGCAGCGGAACTGCTTTCGATCCTGGGCGGGCTGGAGCTGGAGAGCCTGATCCAGGCGCACGACCAGGCCGCCGCGCTGCTTGACCCCGCGTCCTTCAACAGGGGGAAGAGGCATAAGGTCAGTACAATAAAGACTAAAAGACAAAACTAGCACTTCACAGTCTTCACACCAACCGATCTATGTACCATAAAGAATACCTCCACAGATTCAAGATTACTGACAATGACACATGTCCCTGTGATAATATAACCACCCAATCAATGTTGCATCTCGTTCAGGACTGCCCAAGATTTCAATCAACAAGACTTAGCCATAATATAGTTTGCCAAATTTACAACATCGACCCATTCAATTTCCAACAAATTATAACCAAGCAAGATTCCATAACAACATTTACCACCCACATTGAAAACATAGTTAGCAACCTAAAATCTTTCAACAATTAAAATTCTAAATCACGTAGGAGAGAGCAACGCGTAAACCGATAGCGCCGCGCTCTCTCTGAAATTAAAAATGCCCAAATTAAAAAAAAAAAAAAAAACGATCTATGTTTTTCTCGCGGTATCGGCACGTGCCAGGCCGCTTCTCTCCCCAAACATACGTATGTGAGGTAACCGTCCCCCAACAACGCCCTAGGCCGAGGTCTGAACCTCACTCAGAGGCGCCCTTAGGCTCGTTGCTTAAATTTTGAGGTTGAGAGCCACTGCGCTCATCTATTGCCCGGTGAAGCTGAGAAAGCCACTCACGGCTATCGGCACAGTACGTTGAAAGACAAGTCACCATGTAAAAGAACCATAACGATCTCTGACTTAACCAGTAAACTTATGGAAGAAAGACGAAACTTGGTTTTGCAGTCCTCAGGATAGCTCCTACCTCATGTTAATGATAACTATCTAAATACTTCTCCAAGTAGAGAGAGACGACGTCAATAGCAGAGATAATTATAATAAAATTCATGCATTAACCTATTATTATAAATTAATATAGCAATATCGTACATACAGATATCATAAAACAAAACATAATACCTAGTTATTACCTACTCACATGCTAATGAAAACATAACATTGTTGCTAAATGCACATAAATGTTTTATAGTTTAACCTTAGTTTGAAGTATCTATTATTATTAATTAATAATTCTGACTCACTGTAATCAATAAATTCTTGCTCTATTACATATTTGTATGACGCTACATAATAATATGATTATCAAACTGATAAGATTAATAATAATATTGTGGGTCCACATGTTAAATCAATATTGACTTTAGTTTAAACGATTTGCACTACTAGTAGTAGTATTTAGTAGATAGGTATGTAAATAAGTATGTACTCTACATAAATTTCATTCACGATTGATGAAAATGGCGGCATTATTTTCTATTCCAGAATAAACCTTAATTTTTTCCTACGTTTAATGCGTACTGTAGGACAAACAAATTATTAATCGTCATGAATCTTAATAACCGTCGAAGTTTTGGAATAATTTGGGAATAATTACGACGTAATTTCTGACTAAGCGATTGCGCCGGCCCTCGCCAAGTTAAATCGTCTCGGACCTTCCGCGTAAAGGTGGAAACACTCTTGTGTGTGCTGGAAGAATTTTGCGAGGACCCTAATAAAATAAAGAACTTTGCTATTAGCCGGTACGAAGCGCAATAAGTACTAAGCATCAAGCGAAGCTTACATCTGTGGGTTTTGATTTTGGCTACACCCTTACTTCTTCAGTCGATGACCCCGCTATACGGATACGGAGTTACTCGTAGCACGGATTTCAAAGACTTCTAAATTAATGAATTTCAGTTCATTCAGCGTAGCCAAGTGTGTTGTCACCTTAAATCATTTCCCCGGGTATTCGTTTGGATTTGGCACGAATTATCATAGCATTAGCATAACATTTGCACTGCGATGTTTGTCTGTATTTAGACCAGAAAGTACTACACTTAAAAGGCGTGAATCTAGGGTACCTTCGACATTATACAGCGAGAGTGGGTAATGGTCGGCGGATAAAGTAGAGCCAATGACATTATAAGCTTTAAGCGTTTAGTATAAGTTGCAAAAATCCATCGAGGAAATTTTTGTAGGTTGATATGCTCAATGCTCATGACTCTACTATGCTGTCCTACTAAAGTTCTTTTGAAAAATGTTTTTGCAAAGACAAAAGCCTGTAGAGCAGGAAACAACGTTAAATATGATATTATTAAAATAAAATATCCTGAAAACATAAAATACTAACATATTTTCTCTCTCAACACTTGTTAAAGTTTTCTGAAATTCGAGATTTCAGGAGCTTTGCCGATGCATTCGTTTTTAATCAGTTCTCAGATTAATTAACGAAAACTGAGAATGTTGTGTAATTTAATATGGACAATGTGCATCGCAGCTTTTACTTAACGAAATAATTTTCGGTTGTATTTTCGGTTATATTTTCTGAGTAGCTTAATTTAATATCATTTGTAATTTATAAAATGTGTTTGTATGGTGAATATTCAATAATGTTCATGGATTGTATACTTCGTGGCATTTAATCAATATTGTATTGTTTCAGACTGGAAATAACTATAATCACAAAGGAGAGAACGATAAAGCTTTAACCGCGCACTCGCCGGACGACCCCAGCGAAAACATCAAAATTATTAAAATTGAAAAGACTAACGAACCACTTGGTTAGTATGAAGTAAACAACTTCTAGTTTTCTTTTAAATAATAATGCCAGCTAGTTGTTCCTAGAAGGTACTTAGGTAGAGCATCTTCAAGATAAACTAACTCCATAGTGTTATAAACGAAGAATACCATGTAAACCAAAATAACTTTAAATTAAACTGAAATACATACTTAATCAAAGGAAACTTATATGAAAATAAATTCGTGTCCGCGAGGCATAGAAGCGAGGATGCTGCCTGCATTTCCTCGCTAAATAGCAAAGATAGAGCCGGGATTTTTTAGAACACGATGTTCTTCATCATCATTTCAGCCATAGGACGTCCATTGCTGAACATAGGCCTCCCCCAATGCTTTCCATGCTGCCCGATTGGTAGCGGCCTGCGTCCAGCGCCTTCCTGCTACCTTTACGATGTTCTTAGTGTTTCTTATTTGTCATATTTGTTTCCAATTTCAGGTGCTACAGTAAGAAATGAAGGAGAAGCAGTTGTTATCGGTAGGATAGTGAGAGGAGGCATCGCGGAGAAGTCGGGGCTGTTACACGAAGGAGACGAGGTACGTTGTATTTGTCATGACAACTTAACATCGCCGTAGCCCTATTCAAACCTATACATTTAATTATCTCATCAGTGATTTGTAATTGGTAAAGTTAGTAAAAGTTAGTTTTAGAAGCGCTATTACCATGCCACAAACCGAGACTCTTTTCCACTACTCCAACTCCTGTACAGCTAGTTTCAATAATTTGACTTCCAATGAAACTCGACCATTACAGGTTTAGTAATTCACCGACTTATTCTAAAATCTTAATATCAATTAATTTCCACAGTTGCTAGAAGTAAACGGTCTAGCCATGCGAGGGAAGTCAGTGCACGAAGTTTGCCAACTCTTGGGCGCGCTGACGGGCACGCTGAGCGTGGTGCTGGCGCCGCGAGCGCGCGCGCCGCGCCCGCCGCCGCCGCACCGCGTGCTGCACGTGCGCGCGCACTTCGACTACGACCCCGAAGACGACGTCTACATACCTTGCAGGGAGCTCGGTAAGTTGCTGACATTAAGAAGGCTTTTTCATCGACAGGCACAGAACAGAGCATTATATTCGCGCCGCATTATTCACAACGCGAGAAGAAACACTTTTAAGTAAGTATAGTCATGTACCTACTCGTAGCAGTATAAAGTGTCGTAGCACTATACGTGCGCGCGCTTAGACTACGACATCATTTAGCTCAAAATGTTTAGCAAACATGGGGCGCACTACGTCCGTAGCACTATAAAATATCGTAGCGCTATGCGCACCCATTGACTTCGACGATGTTTAGTTGAATACCGACTGAAAGCTTTAGTCGTAGCACTATACATACGTAGTCTATAGTAGCGTGCGTATGCTCTTACTACGAGTCTACGATGCGGAGGACGACATTACATTTCTTGGATGGTGACTGACTAGTATGGAGGTAAGTATATTATCGGTGCACGAGGTGTGCCAACTCCTGGGCGCGCTGACGGATACGCTGAGCGTGGTGCTGGCGCCGCGTGCGCGCGCACTTCGACTACGACCCTGAAGACGACGTCTACATACCTTGCAGGGAGCTCGGTAAGTTGCTGACACAAAGAATGCTTTTTCATCGACAGGCACATAACAGAGCATTATACATATACGCGCCGCATTATTCACAATGCGAGAAGAAACACTTTTAGGTAAGTATAGTCATGTACTCGTAGCAGTACAAAGTGTCGTAGCACTATACGTGCACGCGCTTAGACTACGACATCATTTAGCTCAAAATGTGTAGCAAAAATGGGGCGCACTACGTCCGTAGCACTATAAAATATGGTAGCGATACGCGCTAAGTTGAGTGAAAGCTGTGCGTGCGTACTCACTACGTTCGTAGCACAATACACAGTGCCGTAGCAGTATATGTGAGCGCTCTCTCACTACGAGTCTACGATGCAAGAGGTATGGCAACTCCTGGGCGCGCTGACGGGCACGCTGAGCGTGGTGCTAGCGCCGCGAGCGCGCGCGCCGCGCCCGCCGCCGCCGCACCGCGTGCTGCACGTGCGCGCGCACTTCGACTACGACCCTGAGGACGACGTCTACATCCCTTGTAGGGAGCTCGGTGAGTTGCTGACACAAAGAATGCTTTTTCATCGACAGGCACAGAACAGAGCATTATATTCGCGCCGCATTATTCACAACGCGAGAAGAAATACCTTTAAGTAAGTATAGTCATGTACTCGTAGCAGTATAAAGTGTCGTAGCGCTAGACGCGTGCGCGCTGAGACTACGACTTCATTTAGCTCAAAATGTGTAGCAAACATGGGGCGCACTACGTCCGTAGCACTATAAAATATCGTAGCACTACGCGCTTAGTTGAATGAATGCCGAATGAAAGCTGTGCGTGCGTACTCACTACGTTCGTAGCACAATACACAGTGCCGTAGCGGTATACGTGCGCGCTCTCTCACTACGAGTCTACGATGCAAGAGGTATGCCAACTCCTGGGCGCGCTGACGGGCACGCTGAGCGTAGTGCTGGCGCGCCCGCCGCCGCCGCACCGCGTGCTGCACGTGCGCGCGCACTTCGACTACGACCCCGAGGACGACGTCTATATCCCTTGCAGGGAGCTCGGTGAGTCGCTGGCAGAAAGAACGCTTTTTTAATCACAAACACAGAAGATTGAGACTAGAGATGNCACAAATTCCATTAACGCCTGTTTACTAGTTGTATTGCATTCACTTCCTGTCATCACGTTACAGTGTTTACAGTAGGATGTATGTCATCTGTTTATACTATAATTCCACAGCAAAACGTTAACCAAAACATTTATAAATTCCAGGCATAAGTTTCCAAAAAGGCGACGTGTTGCACGTGATCAGCAGAGAGGACCCCAACTGGTGGCAGGCGTTCCGGGAGGGAGAGGAGGACCAGTCGCTCGCCGGCCTCATACCCAGCCAGGCCTTCCAGCACCAGTGAGTATATTACCATTTTAGGATCTGCAGAAGACTAAACTAATCCTGAAAAAAATCTGTATCTTAAGTCTCACGATACCTACTGACTTACTTAGTTACTTACTCCAATAGCTCGGCGATCCAAAATGTATCTTGGCTTGCGATAAGAGATGTCATCATTTGAATCGGTCTTGTGTGGATTCTTATCCCGCCAAGCTCTCGAAGATTCGCGTAAACCACTTACGAGTATAATAAACTATTTCATAACTTGTTTTTATGTAACTCAGATTATTGTACCCAAGACCCAAAAGCTTTAAAGCCTTCAACTTCCTCTGTTTCACACACTTCTTTAAATTTTAAACAAACTATACGTGGGTGAAGTGCGTTAAAAATATCCCTTTCTCTCTCCAGACGGGAATCCATGAAGCTGACGTTAGCAGGCGAAGTAGCAGCTCGGGATAAACCTCGGAAAGGCGGCACGCTGCTGTGCGCTAAGAAACCGCCGCGGAAAAAGAAGGGCAAGAAGGCCACTAGCGAAGCGGGGTACCCGCTGTATTCTACCTCAGGGGGCGACGGTGAGTCGACTATAATTTAGTATAGTCTATTACTTGCAAAAGACACACAACGCTGGATAAAGATCTCCCGAAAGATTCCCACAACGAACGGTCCTACGCTAATGCATCAAGGTGTTTACCGCGACCTTTATAACAGGGGCCTGTCTAACCTACGTTTGATGCCCGTGGTCACCATTCGTTGATGATTTTCAGCCTAAAGTTATCCGTTGAACTGAAAAAAATATATTTCTGAGCTATGTGCCCCGCCCACTGCCACTTGAGTTTCAAGGCGTATGTCAGTTGAAGGGTACAGGGGCAAAACAAGGAATGTCCCTAAAATTCAAAAGTATATTTTTGATAGCAATATTTTCGATTTCCCGCGTAATTTTATTTGAAATTATACAAAAAGCGTAAAAACAAGTAATAGTCATATGTATTCCTATTAGTAGTTTATACTTAATTTTAAGTGACACTTAAGAATATTTTAAACTTTTAAAAATGTAAATGTTCATTACATAACTTTTTGCTTTTGTAACATTTCTTGTTTTGCCCCTGTACCCTTCAGTTGCAGCTTTGGTCAATCGTAGTCAACTGCCGAATATAAAACTCCAAACGCATTTGTACAATCTCTTAAAATATTTTCCCCTTCCAGAGTTTGAGCAAGAAGAAATCCTAACGTACGAAGAAGTAGCGCTGTACTACCCTCGAGCGTCGCACAAGAGGCCGATCGTCCTCATCGGGCCTCCCAACATCGGCCGCCACGAGCTCCGCCAGAGGCTCATGGAGGACGGTTCGAGATTCGCTGCTGCGGTGCCTCGTGAGTTCATTTATCATTTTATTTAGAGAGAGAAAGAAGAAGTCCTAACGTACGAAGAAGTAGCGCTGTTTTACCCTCGGATGTGTCCAGTCAACATTTTATTTAGATAGAGACAACGATAGGTCCTGCTAGGCCCGCATCCAGGTTTTTGGCCAGCTGTGGACGTGTCAGAGTTAACTGAAAAGAACGAACCAAAAGACCCAATAGACCTTGTCTCGTTATTAAAATGTCTCAGAAAAGAGGATGATCAGAAAGATAGACAGAACTCGAGTCATTGATAGTGGGCCTTCTAGTAAAAAGGATGTTCAGTTTTATCAGAATGAAAGAAAGGGAAAGACCTCAGACTGCACCGAAATATTCATAAAACACTAGCCTTATATTTTTTGACTTTTGCCCTTAGCCACACACTTAGAAATTCATGTTTATTTACATAGGTAGGTAATTAGATTACCTAATAACAGTTTTATATACCTACCTAATTAGATTAGCTAATAATAATGTATCTTACCCACAGACACGTCACGTCCGCGAAAAGACCACGAGGTGCCCGGGCAAGACTACCACTTCATCTCGCGCACGCAGTTTGAAGCCGACATACTCAACCGCAAATTCGTGGAGCATGGGGAGTACGAGAAGGCGTACTATGGTGAATATACAACCACTTTATTATCTTCAGCCTTGAAAACAAAAGGCAAAGGCCTGTAATTTCGTAGCCAGTTACGTTTTACTTCAACGTCTTTAGTAAGTTTAAGTAGTTATCTATTTTACTTAAAGAAAACCCCAATCGAAACTATGTTATTACCCAAATAAATAAATAAATTTAATCCTGATACTGAATAAACAATTTTGTACTTTTGTCTTGGCTTCTGTAAGCCAGTTGAGTTTTGTAAAGTCTTTACTTAGAATTTCCTCATCCATTCTGACGCCCGTATTCGCAAACATTAATTACTACGTCTCAAAGTGCTCGTGGACGCACAGGGTGACACATGAACCAGTCACAGAGCTCTGTTCAACCAGTTCAACGCTGTGAGTTCGATTTGCTGCTTACTTAAGCAAGCATCGTTTGTGAATACGGGCGTGAATGTCAATATTAATTTGTAATAAGTAGAGCTATTGAGCTATGAGGCATGAGAATCACTGTTTTTCTGTACCAACAAACTAATGCAGTTACAAACTAGATTCTAGCTGTTAATATTTTTAATTCAATTTTTCATGTAAAAGTCTTGCTCTGGTAATAAACAGATAATCGGCAAATGAAAACTTCAGCTGAATCAGTTATGTTTTTTGTTAATACTAACAGCTAGTTATTCTGTGAGACTAACCCAGTTCCACCACTTCCCAGGCACATCCCTAGAAGCGATCCGCGAGGTGGTGAACTCGGGCAAGATCTGCGTCCTCAACCTGCACCCGCAGTCGCTGAAGATCCTGCGCAACTCCGACCTCAAGCCTTACACGGTCTTCGTGGCGCCCCCTAGCTTGGAGAAGCTGAGGCAGAAGAAGATCAGGAACGGAGAGGCTTTCAAGGTCAGTGTTGAAATAGTATTCTATACTTAGCCTCAGTTGCACCACTGTAACTAAAACCATTACCGGTGCTTTTGTATGAAGTTTGACGTTTGTTACATAAGGTGGTGCAACTCAGGGCTATTCTTATGATTTGATTCGTTATGGGTTCCCAGACGGTAAGATATTCTAAAGGACCATTCAGCCATCATCGCTAGTTGGGTTTCATTGGAGATTAAACTGTAGATCCTGGCTTTAGAGGAGTCACAGTAGTGGGAAAGAAAGGTCCGATGAGACTAGTTTGTATGATAATTTTCGGATTTTGTAACACACCCTACATATCTGTTATGATTTTTTTCAATATGATAGATAATCGTCTATCACTTAGGTAGTCATATTGACTAAAGTAAAAAAAGAAAAGTAATCGGGATGGCACCCGGGGCGATCCCCCCCCGTCATAAGTCCTAAGGCACCCCCTCAGGATTTAGGGTCACCTACCGATTCGAAGATTGAAAGCCAATTGCCCCCCCCCCGTATCATGACATAGACCGCAGATTTGCCTTGCAGATGTGCCAGTGAGTACTAATCTGCGCGACTTGTGTCACCCCCTGATGCTTGGCACCCGGGGCAGACCGCCCTAATTAAAAATGAAGATGCATGGTATGGTATATGGTACTTACTTCACCCTTCTTATTTGTCTGCAGGAGGAGGAGTTAAAAGAGATAATAGCGACCGCCCGCGACATGGAGCTCCGGTGGGGGCACCTGTTCGACATGATCATCATCAACAACGACACACAACGTGCCTACCAGCAGCTGCTCAACGAGATCAACAGCCTCGAGCGCGAGCCACAGTGGGTGCCGGCGCATTGGCTCAAGCACACCTAGCGGGCCCCCCGCGCCGCGGCACTCGCCCCACTCGCCGCCCCACTCGCCCCACTCGCCGCCCCACTCGCCCCACTCGCCGCCCCACTCGCCCCACTCGTCCCAATCGTCCTCCTGATCGCAGCACTCGCGAGGACCATCTTCCACCTCCTCCTGTACTTCCTCGACCTCTGCGACCGGAGGCCCAAGCGCCCCGCGCGCCGGCTGAAACTTTAGCATAGAATTTAGCGATGTGTTCCCTTCGTGAGAGTGAGGACCTGCGTCTGTCGTGTTTAGTTCCCGCGGAGGACAGACCAAAGTTGTTAATACTTTCATTAGGTGTATTTTATATTTGGACGTTTTGGATATTAATTAATCGTAAACGCCGATTCGGCGTTCGCGATCGTTCGATTTCGATCGGTTCGTATTTGTTAATCGCGTTGACGAACGCGGAGTTTCGTGAAAGACGTGTAGGGTGTTTTCGAATACCCCATTGAGAGAATTAAGTAATATTTATTGATTTGTGTACGAGCTGTAGACCAGAGTTTTTACGGTACATAGAACCTCGAACCTTAGATACAGTCGTGTGAAACGAAGTAATCTTCCGGCAATAATAGGTACGCGATTGTCTGAATTAGGATTAAAGTTTTACCTAAATAGTGATGAATATGAGTAAAACAATAATTCGTGAAGGGGCTTAATACAATAAAAAAGTTTCATTTCTTTTTAATATACCTGATATTGTACTGCCTTATTCGTGGATGTTGCGTAATTTTACATTTTTTAACTTGTACATCGTTTCATTCGTTAAAATTAGAAATGGAGTTCACATTTCACGTTAGGCGTTTTGATAGATCCCACATCCATTCTTTATTGCTAATTTTAACGGATATTAGAAATAGGTATTGTAAAGGAAACCGCTGAGGGTCAGTTAAAGTTCACTTTTCTAGTTTAGAATTTCAAATAACATTTTACACAATTCCTTCAAATATTTGAATAGTATTTCCTTCAAATTATAGTCTGTCTTGAAATGTCTGCTTTTCCCGGTTTACTGAAACAAGTCGTGGGACGCGCGCGCAAACTACGAGTTAGAATTTAGGTCGGCCGATGGCAATAGTTCCATAATCCTTAGATTTGACTTAGTACCTACATTTATTATCTAATCTGCAGACGTAAATTCTTACTTCCCACGTAGTTTTAGAAATCACCACGCTTTCAGTAGTAGACATCTGCCTTTATCCAATAATCCGTTTTAAAATATTTGAGAACTTCTTATAATCGTAGGTCTCCATTTAATTCTATTTTTCCTTGAATCTAACGACTTTAGACTGCTCGCTGGATATCCGATTAAGCAACTCCAATGATGGCGGTCCATAAAAAAAGATTTTAAAGCCGCGGCAATTTACCAAATTACATTTTAAATTAGTCGTGTTAAATAGAAGTTGTTGAAACTTACATTAAGCTACAAACAATAATGCAAAGGAATTTATAGTTTGCAATTTAATAGATAGTTAATATCAAATACGATCAATAAACAATAAATTAACTATTTCTCTATTGCCAAATTTATACGGTAGATTTAAAAAAAAGATAGGATTTTTTGAAAAAATCTTCAGTAGTCTTGTGGGATTCTAAGGGCGTGACCCAGTGGTAGGAAGTTTCTAGTACCTAACAATAAACCAATAAAGGATCACTGCTATGATAGTGAGTAGTAAAGCAATATTTTATAACCGTATAATCAAATTTACCTACTGTACAACGACATATCTGATTTTTATAGTATACCTATTTCAATTTTTCGGCCAATCGAATGTATGTATATTCCTTTTGGTAATTTTACCTCTATTTAATGTAACTAATAGATACAATAATTTATCGAATAGTCACGAGTTTGGTGTGCTTGTTTTATTACGACCATTTGTCCGGTTTTTTGTGTAAACCACGTGTCTTTTTAAATGTGCTTGTAGGTATAGCTCGACAACACCGATCCACTCGATCACGTACGATTTTACATTTTGACAAATAATTACAATATTGTACTAATTACCTAGTGTAAAGAAACAAATGAACGCGCACATTTGTTGAAACTTATGTATGATGTATAGAATAAAGAATATTTAGAAAAGTAGGTACCTAACTAAAAACTTCTTAACTCGACCTACGCATCGTATCACAGAAAAGCTAGTCATCCCGATTGATTAAAATGCTAATGAAATTCTTAAAGATGAGCAACTAACTGCGCAGGAGGCCATCATAGATGTTGTCGAGTTATACGTCCCTCCGTAGAGAGAATAGTTAACGCAATACATTTTATAAGATGAACACAATATTCTAAATATTCAGGGATAAGTGAAATTAGTTTGTTTACATTATTTGTATATCTGTGTAGATAGAATTGTGCATTCCAAATACTTTAGTGCCAAATACATAAGGCCACGAGGAATAGTGGGTTGAATATTCTTTTTATAATAATCACAATTTTTAAATAAAATAATATGTTATTTTGTATGTATGTTGTAGGTATGTTATACCATTACCATTGTCATGTTATGTGTACTGATTTTGAGATATCGTGTCATAATTTTTAAATTGATCGAGAATATTGCATTAGTTGCGTAAGTTGATAATATATTTGAGCATAAATCAGTGGTAGCCTGTGAGGTGCTAAAAATTTGTAAACAGATTTATTGTTTTTATCATATTCTGTATGTATTTATGTTATCGTTACACTGGGGTATGCGTGTCGATGTTTTTTCGTACTAGCAACATGCGTAGGTACCTCTATTATTGTAACTTTTTGCGAAAGGCGACACTTAAAACATTGTCACGTATGCTCAGTGAAAATGTGGATTTGCCGAGATTTCACAGTATTGATATTGTCTAATTTATAAATAGTCCTGTATATAATTTATTAACAACTGAATAAATAATGAAAGAGTATAAATAACATGTTAATAGAGAACAATTTAATGTAAATAATAGAGTACCTATTAAATTTAATATCAGATAATGTTTGTTTTATTTCGTTCGTAGGCATTGTAACATATCGTAACCGTTCCTACAAGATCACCACACCCTGATTGAACAACATAGATTATGCACGAAAGTTTTTTAATAAAACTAGCCGACCCGACCTTACCCTACTCTACAGAAGCGCCACCTAGTATTTTCAAACCACCCAGGGACCATTAATTGAAACATCAACTAAATAAATCGGTCCATAGCCGCATCGCATTGCAGTAGCTGCGATACCGATACGAGAATGAGAACGCATTCGATTCCTGTCGACCATAATAATACTGTAAAGTTTCATCAAAATCCGTTCAGTAGTTTTTGCGTGAAAGAGTAACAAACATCCAAACATACATAAAAACTTTCGCATTTATTAGTAGGATAACCTTGAATAACATAATTATAGGCTACTAGCTTTTACCCGCGGCGGCGTCACCCGCGTGAAATTTAGTTGTCACAGATCGTCATAAATTATGTTATTCTGGGTTATAAAAAAGAATACTGTAAAGTTTCATCATTATCCGTTCAGTAGTTTTTGCGTGAAAGAGTAACAAACATGTTAACATCCAGACATCTACTAAACATCAATTCTTTGTCTTTCGCATTTATTATAAACGAGTAGGTATTAGTAGGTAGGATAATTTATGACGATCTGTGACAAACTAAATTCACGAGGGTGAAGCCGCGGGTAAAAGCTAGTTTAATATAGGCCCGTGCAACGTAGTGGGCTTTTACCATAATACTGTACAAATTCCGCGCGCGGAATCCACTCAACGCAACGACAAACAACATAACCCTCCTTCTGGCGCTGTAGGGTAAATAGTAGCGCAACGCAACGGGTCGGGGAGGACTGAAGAAGGCCTAGGCCTATCCAGTTTTTATTACTAAAGTGATACCCTGCCTGGCCCTGAACTCACCGTAAAACAGCAAATGAAAAGAACGTTTACGATTTTATAATACTTACCTACGTTTGTCAGGCGGGTTAAACTTACTAGGTACCTACTGCATGCAAGGATTTCGTAAGGAAGAATCTACGCAATTTTTTAGGACAGATTCAACTCTAGTCATTCATTAGAAGCTAAAATGAGCTTGATTGTTTTTTTCAAAATTATAGTGTAGTCCGATTTAATTTAAAAAAATGTTTTATCCTTGAATAAAATATGTGAAGAGAGAATTCGGACCGATCACGGATATAAGTGTGACGTTGATGACGTTGACTTTGACAATTGACAATCCGAGTTTGACGTTTCATCTTCGAGTTCGAGGGAAAGTCACAAAATCGTAAACTGATTCCTTTCTCCAAAAAATTGCAATTACCTTGCTTTATTTTTCTAAATTGAGTGGTCGAAAATGCCTTCAATGAAGGTAGAAGGTGATAGTGACGGTGACGGAGACATGTCTGGAGGAGATACTGAAAGATCTGGGGGATCCTCCCGAGGGCCTGATAGGGACTCCAGCGCTGAGGAAGCTGATGAACCCGACTCTGATGACTCCTCAGAGATGGACGAGAGTGAATGCGAGCGGCGCAGGAACGAGTGCCTGGACAACTTAGGTTGGTATCGACGCTCAGCGTTGAGGTTATGTTTACAAACATTTAGGTTTATGTGTCAAGTCTTGTGCTAATTTGCACCAAAATAGACAAATATTTTTGATCTTTCGCTTCTTATCGACTGTTATAAATTATATAAATAGTCTGAAATTATTTATTTTGTCATCATTTTTGTGAAGTTTGGGTCAGATGATATTTTTAGTAACCTACTTTTTGTCTATTTGTCAAAATGTATGAGAATATGATTTGTTTGATTGGTTTTGCAAGGTTTAGCGTTTATTGTAAAAGTCATTTTTCCTAGAAACATTACTTGGTATTTGAATTTGTTGTGCTGGTTACCAGAATCTGGCAGTCATATGATTAAATCAATGGTATTGTCATCTACTTCAACAGTTAAAACATAAAGTTTTCATTAATATTTAACCAACCAACCAACTCTCTTATTATAAAACAATAGCTTGCAACCTCAGGTCTAGGCTAAGGATGGATTCAGATCCATTGACACCATTCATAATTAGTTCCAACATAAATGAATAAGGAAGTGACAAATTCAGTTATTATTTTTATTATATTCCAACACTCTAGATGACTTTTAGAGCTTTAGCAAGATATTAAAGCTACAATATTTTTGCAAAACATAATATTTTGGCTATGGAATCCCATGCTTTGTTAATGATTCCTTCATTGATTAGTTTCCTAGAATCTTAATAAATAACCTAAATATCTGACCAGAGGTTCTAATGCCCGTTTTCACCATCAATACCTAATTTTTAAGTGACCCCTATGGTAACACATAACAGAAATTTTGTTTTCATATGGGTCACTTAAAAAGCCCATAATTGTAAAATTTCTATTTCACTATTATTATTTTGAAAAATGTAACTGTGCCTGTGTAACAAAGATCCTTGTTTTAAACTGTCATGGTCACTAACATAATTATAATTAAGCTACATGGTAGCAATCCCGTCAGTAATAATAATTAAATATCCTTGTATTATCATGTAAACTTACAAAGATCTTATAATACTTTTCAGCGAACCTCGAGCGTCAATTCACCGTTCTCCGTGAGCAGCTGTACTGTGAGAGAGTGAAGCACGTTGAGTATCAGCTGGCCGAAGTGCGCGGTGGGAGGTCCCAGGAGTACCAGGGGCCCTTACGCAGGCTGCAAGAGAACATGCGGGTTAGGTATGTTGGAAAATGGGTTTTATTAAATCAAGTTTAAGTACTGTTTTTAAATGTTATGCTTTTTATTATATGGATAAGTATGATTTATAGTAAAACACTATGGAAGTTCACAATTATGAGGAAGTTTCTTTGGAATTCTAATGTTAAAGAAATTTAAGTGTACATAACATCGTCTCTCCAACTGCTGATGCGAATGAATTTAGTGTTTTCATTGGACATTGACATCTGTATGTTTTTATATTTAGGCTGGGTTATTTAAATTGGGTTTAATAATGCCTTTCTTTTCTTTATTTCAAAGTCAAACCACTGCCCTTGACCTAATTGTCTGATTGATTGAGATTAAACAATGTTTGAGATTGAGACCTTAATATTGCTGTAACAAGCTTAAGTGGTGATAAGCAAGAAAATATCTTGAGACCACGCACCAGAAAGCGCCACGTTAGCCCACCTGTCTAAGACCTCCCCCACACTAGCTTCGTTCGTATGTCGTTGTCCCTTTTGCGCCTACGCAGCGTCGAGCAGTCAGTAACGCAACATCGGGGTGAGGTAATTACGTTACTTGTACGAAAAAAACGTTGCCTTGGTACCACGATGATGCGACGCCAGCACTGCTTAGATCTGGCGTTTGGCAGCTGCTCAGCATTGGCATTGTGGCGACCCTGCCGCGCTGCGGGTTTATTCCGAACCCGTTATCCGAAATTTCGAATGTTGCCATCCCTCTCACGCAAAGCGAGATGCTAGCATGAGCGAGGGTGTTAGATAGACCCGAAACTACGAACGTTTCGGAGTAGCCCTGCTGAGCCAGTGTTGCGTTGACGTTGCGCGGGCGCTAGCAAAACTACGACACTCGAAAGACAATAGCTAGAGGGTGCGATGACACGACGACCTAATCAACTAATTAAAGTGCAGAAATTGTTCACCTTCTAACTTCGATTCTATTTTCGATTGAGGGTTTAATGTGTCTATATTTTGTTATTGTTGTAGTCTGTTCTTATAATCCCTCCCAATGCAGGATCCTTAAACCGAGAAGAGTCCATTAATTAAACGAACATGCTTTCGCCTCTTTGAAGGTTACCAATATCTTCCGATTATTCTGAAACTGAAACAACAAGTAAACACTGAATAATTTAAAATCGATCTAATAGGCTCTATTCCTTTAAAAGCGTTTGCGAGAGTTTTTGCATTAGCTTATCCACATTTAAGTTTTGGTCAAAGTCAAAGTAAACTAATGTTCAACATGTTTAAACTTTTTTGTAATAAGGCCCTTGATGTTTTTAACTGGAGCTCTAACAAGTATAAAAAATGTTTTGATTTATTTGAATGGTATTGGTAAGCTAGTAGTGTCATATCTTCAGACTTAAGTACTTGCCTAAAGTTCAGTGGAAGCTTTTTCTAGTATCTATTGCCATTTATTTATACCTACTCACAGTTTGTTAGTGAAAAGAACGATGTCAATAAATTCGGCGTCGCACGCGTGAGATGTGTGTTTTGTATCTGTCATAAAATAGTGCGCTTATTCGTCTTTTGTTTTTTTTTCGTTTTCATAAAGCTATTCGTATTACGCGCGGCTGGCAGCCGTCTTTTGTTTTTCCCATGTTTGAACAAAATATCGTGTATTTTTTTTCTTCTAATTGCACAATATCAGCCAGTGTCGTGTAAAATTAAGTTTTTAATTTGTTGCAGAATCGAAGTGGCCGGCATCCTGAAGCAGTACCGCATCGAGAACATCAAACACAAGTACGAGGCTGAGGAGCAGGCCGCTCACCAGCATTATAAGGTAAGTTTATGATTAATTAGTTCAGCTTAAACTATCCATAAATTAAATTATAAGAATTTACTAACTGATGCTTTCTTAAAGCGAAAAACTGATGCGTACTCGAAAGAAAAGCGCTATGCACTGAATGACGTGATTTGCTTTTCTGTGAATATAATCATTCCAGTGAGAGTTGAATGTATTATTATCATACTTACAGAGAGGTCTTAGGTCTGTCTAACGACATTTTAAAGTAAAAATCTAACAGACCTCAAGATCGCAGACTTTATTATTATAATTTTTCTAACTAAACATTTAAATTCAACAATCCTAAGATTGATTATTTCAGTTTACATCGAATTTGTGGTGTGTCATTTTAGTTACAAAGAACTTAGAACTGTCAAAGCTTTTTTATGGCAATCCGCGCTGTTGAAACGGGAAGAATGAAATAGTTTCAGAAACTAATTAAAATTGAAGAAATAGGATTAGGAAAGGACCTGTGAAAGCTTCATCGTTATGTGTTTTAACCGACTAAAAAAATTAGGAGGTTCTCTGTATGTTATTTTTAAATGTATTTGGTTGAAGACTGATGTTTATTTGTTATAGATCTAGCGCCTAACTCAGTGTCTGAGCTATGGGAGCGGCACGGAGTGTGATTTTGTAAAGGTCAATCGTCATCAGCGATTTAAGATTTGTATAGATCGTTTCATCCACGAAGACGCGCCACACCATGTTTTTGGTCAAGGGAAACGCGGGGTGCGGGGAGTTTCGTAATGTAACCCTTCGTCGGAGATTTCAGTCACTGACTTACAATATTGGGGGAGGCCTTTGTCCAGCAGTGGACGTCTTTCGGCTAAAACGAACGAACGAACTTACAATATTCTGTATGGCTGCCCTGCAAGGCTGCTCTAGGTCGTTTTAATTTATTTATTTCCATGTCCAACGTCGCCAATTACTAAATAATACAGCATTCCGCTAATCCTTTATTTTTTATTATTAAACAATGTGTTTCTATGGAGACGTCATCCATAGACATGACAGTATCCATGAGTGCACACGCACACTACAATAATGACGGATTGCTCGGATCAAACTCCCCGCACCCCGCGCTTCCCTCGACCAAAAAGTGGTGGGGCGCGTCTTCGTGGATGAAACGATGTACAGGGTGGAAATGTTAAGTGATCTCACTCGATTATTTCTAAACTATACAAGATATTGAAAAACTGATTACTGATCCTGAAAGTGCTTCAAGAGCTCTTTCAAACGGTACCAATAATAGGTTACAGAATTAACTTCCATACTAATAAATGTATGCCAGTCACACTAAATTAGATAAGAAAGTGTATTTTTTTTTATTCAAACTCTTAAAATGAACTCGTAAATTGTATTCCTATTTTAAATTATTCTTGGAAAACATTGGTTTTAGGCTTTACTTGCTATAATACTGTCAAGAGATAAGTGTCATGAATGTGGTAGTACAAAATGTATGGAAGGAGGGAACATTGAATTTTTGGATAGATCCAGTTTATTCTGTAACTTATTATTGATACCATTGGATAGAGCTTGTGAAACACTTTTAGAATTAGTAATCAGTTTTACGATATCATGTGTAGTTTTTAAAATAATGTGACTTTACCAAATGTATGGAAGCTGGAAACATTGAATTTTCGGATAGATCCAGTTTATTATGTAACCTATTATTAATACCGTTTGATAGAGCTCATGAAGAACTTTCAGGATCAGTAACTAGTTTATTGATATCTTGTATAGTTTAGAAATAATCGCGTGAGATCACTTATCGGTTCCACGCTGTATATGCCGGTATGACCTGTCGTCACATCATAATAATGAGGGCTATCGTTTTAGCGCTCACCAGTTAGCGCCACTGTAGAGTAAGGTCCTGTCACTTGCTAGTAGCGAAGACAGTGGCACCAACTGGTGAGCGCTATAGTGGTAGGAGGACTATCGCATTTGCACTCATCAAGATGGCGCCACTGTAGAGTAAGGTCCTGTCAATCGCCAGGGGTGCCAACTGTTAAGTATAAAAACGATAGCCCTCATTATGTCACCCCTCCCGTGCCGCTTCCATACTTCAGGCGATGACTGAGTCTGTTAATCGCTGGATCTATAGAAGCGTAGCACAGAAGGCCCGGCAGAGGTCAAAAGTCAAAAAAATTTGTTGTTTATTAATCTTTTTTTATTTACGCAGGTAGGTAGTTAAAAACCTCTAGTTTTAGAAAATAATAAAGTTCCAACATGTTTCTTAACAAATTGGTATACTTTTGCGAGTCAGAAGTCAATGATTACATGCCTAAGAACGGTTGCTATCAGCGCGTCCTAAGTTTATTGCTTGGTTTAGATAAAGTTTTGTTTATAAATTGTATTTAAAACTAGTGCGTTTAACAATGGAAATCCTAGAAAAAGGTAATGTGTAACTTTTTGTCAAAATTTTAAAGTTATATGGCTGGTATTAACATGTGAAATATGATGAAAATAATTGATGATTTATTAAATATTTTCAGACTTTTAGTTTAGTTCCCCGTCGTGCCCCGTAACAATTTATACGTCATTTGTTAGCTGACAATACGCTTTTTTATATTTTGTATGCAATTTCACCCAAGAGTACCAAAGGCCTTGACAGTAGGGGTCCAAAGTTGCATTATTTACTTAGCTTTGAAATCCAAGACAATTTATTTTTCTGTTCTAGGCCAAGAAATTCATTAGGCTCATTTGTGAAGTACAAGGGAAATTGAAACGCAACTTTTTAGAAATGCTTATCCTTCGCGGCACAATGAATTGCTATTCCAAAGCAACAAAGCGCGCCTTTCATGGCCCAGTGATGAATGAGTTGATTCGTTCAATAGATACTGTTTAATGAAGACGTTATGGCGCAGAAGTTTGCTTTTTCATGGAAAACTGAGTTGTAAATGTTTTTGAATTGATTTGTAGAAAATGGGCCGGCTTTGTGCCCAATGTTAATAACGTTGTCGCGCACAACTTTCATTGGAATTAAACCCATTGTACCTACGTTTAGTTTTTTTTTGTTTTCATATTCTATTTTTTAAACCTTCAAAATAAATAATTAAGTCTAATAACAAATAGATCAGTCAAAATTTTTTTTATTATGCCTTCTTTAATTACGACTCAAGGCGAAAATGACGTGATATACCTATAAAATTATCACTCTCACGGGATTTTACAACAAAAACTTATACATATAACCATAGCTGGGCATTAACTCGTTAATCCGTTAATCGTTAATTAACGAAGTTAACATTTCTATTAACTGATTAACTTTTAAGTTAACTTTAAAAATTGTTAACGGACTCGTTAACTTCCGTTAAAGTATCCTAAGTCCGTTAATCGTTAATCCAGTACCTACTATTTATCAAAAAGATACATGCAGGCACGCTGAAAAACGCGTTCTGATAAGTACGTTCGGGCTTCCAGAACTTCCAGAACCCAAAGCAACAGTTTTTGTAATCAGATCACTAACGCAACGATATATTAAAATGCATTTTTTTATTTATTTACAACTGAATTTAAGACCAGAGGTGGAATTGTGTAAAGCAATCATTATAATTTGACAGTTCATAACTTACGATTATTCTGTCAAACGCTTTGTATAACTGACTTTATCGTACGTTATGAACTGTCAAATGATTACGATTGATTTACACAATTCCACCTCAGTTCTCAACCGATTAAGCTGTATGGTATACTTATTTAAGTACGATGACAATGCAATGTTATTGTTGACGATGGCCACCTAGAGTAGGTACAACTTAGCTAGATATAAATATTATTAATTAAAATGGCTACTTATGAAACTAATTTACTATCTTATTAGATTTGCCTTTTATTTGTATGAATATGTAACTGATGGTGCCTGAATGTAGGCTATACAGGGTCCTTCTAAACTAGCTACATTCCGTTTAATGGGGGCATCTATACGGTACACTGAACAAGTTCACCAAATTTTCAGTAGGTATGTGTTTTATAATGATTTTACAAAGTTACATTTTCTGGCAAAAATAAAAATTCATTGCGTCTTACATAATGGAACATGCTGTTTTTTTTACTCACACAACAAAGCTGTAGTGTATTCATTTTGCACAGGAACACGAGACACAACACAGATAACGATCACTACCACTGCACACTTTTTTGTTGTTTACACTCACGTCATAACAACTCACAGGCCTCACAGCAGTCGTCACAGCTGATAGCCGATTAGCTGATCAACTGATTGGGCGAGATATCACTTCAATGTTGCAGGCCTACTCTCATATCGTTGTCTATCCTTATTATCTTATGTTGATCACAGCAAAATGGATTCACGATACCATCGAAAAATCAACCAGCAAAGGCCATGATTTTTAAGGCGCGTCTTAGTAAATTTATTTGCATTTGTGCACCTGTGCGTCATAGTTCACTTAACGAGCACTACAAAACGCACCTTCACACAAGAAAGCTAGTCAAAAACTGAATTAAATCAAAGCGCACGCGCCGACAAATGCCGATAAGCCGCACGCCCTTTGTTGACACAAAAGCAAAAGCAAAAGCCGAAAAGTTGGCATAGGCGTACAGTCGACAAAAAATAAACTTATTTATTTATTATTTTATCTGCTTGCTTTCGATTTCAATTGATTCTAATCTAAATTGTAGTGTTGAGTATTTCATGGTAAAATATCCTATAACAGATAATAATTAAAAATTAATCAAACTTACTGTTTTGTGAATGTAATTCAATGGCCTAGTCAATTTATGTAGAAACATTAAATTAGACTATTGAAGCAAATAAAACTCTTCAATTTGTTTGTATTGATATTCCAATTATCCTAAGTCAAAGTCCGTTCTTAAATTAATCGTTAATGTCATCATTTCTATTACAATAGAAAAGTAGATGAGGTAGGTTAATTAGTTAAATTAGTTAAATAAAATAATAAACCTAATTAGTTAAATAAAATTTCCGAATCATTTTCCAACTTGGTATTTATTTATGACCTATCTTATGTACCTAT